GGTCAATGGATCAAGTGACAGTGACCTACTGACACTGCACTTGCTGGGGGGGATAAGCGTAGGGGCTTAACGCAAGTGCTAGGGCTGATCCTGCTAACGCTGCATATTTGGGGATACTATACTAATGTGAACGCTGGTATAGTGCTGATCTGATCAAAGATATTGATCCGTTTAGACACTATAATGTGTGTGTGTGTGTGTGTGTGTGTGTGTGTGTGTGTGTTCCTGGCAATCGAGGGGTTAAATGTGATTACTGGTGTACTGACAGGCAATCTGGCGCTAACTGACGCTAACACTATTCTGTACACTGTACTAATGGCACTGGTGACAGGACAGTGAATGGGTTACGGGGGGGGGGGGGGGGGGGGGGGGGGGGTCGATCAAGGGGTTAAATGTGTTCTAACTGTAGAAGTGTGCTGCTTTTACTTACTGTGTGTCTTGATTCTTCTCTCTCTGGGTTGGAATGTGCCCAGAGAGAGATGTCATTTCCTGTAACTGTGTAACTGTAAACACAGGTACAGGAAGATCCCTGATAGGACAGGGATCGATCGTTCGACTTAGGCCAACCATCACTGACCTAAATTGGATGATTGATCCTTGGGGATGAAATCATGGTACCCGTCGGTCGGCGGAGGGCGTGCCTCCACCCCTTCCGTCCCGTGCAAACCGCCGGAGCCCAAATAATGTGTGTGTGTGTGTGTGTGTGTGTGTGTGTATATATATATGTATGTATGTTATTTTGCGCACCATGCTGCTTTGTATCAGTATTTCTGATATAGGGCGTTCGGGGAGCGATTAAAGCGGAGTTCTACTGTTTGCCTCCTCTCCGCCTCCACTGCCATATTTGGCACCTTTTTGGGTGGAGCGGGTTTTCAGTTTTGACAGGTACCTGCTCCCACTTGCGGCGAAGTGAGCTGAAAATTCAGCCCCCTCGTTCCTCGCAGTCTTCTGGGAACCTTCACAGGTCCCAGAAGACTTCTGGACCAATGAGAATGCACAGTGGGCACCCAGCTGTCACAGCCTGGCGCCCACAGTTGTGATGCAGAGGAGAGAAAAAGCAGAGAAGGGACGGCGTGGGTAAGGATATCGCTAGACCCTGCGACAGGTAAGTGTGTATCTATTAAAAGTCAGCAGCTACAGTTTTTGTAGATGCTGACTTTTGTAGATGCTCTCCTCCTCCCTCTATACCTGCATCCCGACATACGGTCAGCACCCACTGATTGGTCCCAGGCCTCTAGATGGGCAAGTGGAGCCCGGGGACATATAGCGGGCAGGGGGGGGCGGTGGCTGGTACTGTGGGCTGTGTGGTAGCAATCAGGCGGCAGCACTGCTGCCTGAATTCTTCCACCTGACAGACGAGCCCTGCTGCTTACCTGCAGCAGGGCTAAAGGCAAAAAAACCTACCTGCCGGGCGCCTACATGTCCCGGGCGTTGGGCGATATGAATTGTACATCCCTGCCTGTATATAAGACTTATATACTGTATAACTAATGTCATAAGGACAAATGTACAACTGGTAAAATTTTTCTCAGTAAATATATTTCTAAAGGTGCTATTGACATGAAATTTTCCCCACATGTCGGAAACAACCCATATAACCGAAACATAAGTTCAGAAATTATGTTCTGTGTAATAAAATGAAATAAAAACAGGAAAAAAAGTATTGAGCACATGAAGAAAGGGAGGTGCAAAAAGACATGGAAAGCCAAGACACCAGCTGTAATCTATCAATTAGTAAGCAATCCTGCCCCTTGTCAGTGCAAATTCATATCCTCTGGTTCAGTCTCAACTGATGGCTTGGCATTAGCAAGGTGTCACACAAGAAACCTCTCGTGATGGGTAAAAGCAAAGAGCTTTCTCAAGACCTTTGCAACATTCTATGTGTGGTCACGTTGTGGTGGTACCGCAGCTAGCAAATGACAACCACATGTGTAACAATACACAAATCGCAGAATTTCCACAATCTAATATAAAGCTGTATTGATATCTCTCATTGCAACAATACTGCAGCTACATATGAATATATGTCAGTTAAGCACCGCTTGATACTGGTGAACCACTACAGTATATTTCTGGCCCCATAAGTATGTGAAATTTTGCTGTACAGTGCTATGGCTTCAGATATACAGTGGTACCTCGGTTTACGAATTTAATGCGTTCTCCGGGACGTTTCGTATTGCGAAAACTGAAACATTGGAAACTGAAACATAGGAACGCATTGAAAAAAACACCTCCATGCTCGATGCCACGTGCTACCCACAGACTCCAGCATGCACGAGGGCAGCGCTGTAAAAACCTCCCAGGCGCAATGCATCCTGGGGAAACTTGCTTCGTATTGCGAAAAAAATCTTTAACCGAGGCATTATTTTCAAAGGATTTTCATTCGTAAACCGAAAATTACATTAACCGAGGCGTTCGTAAACCGAGGTACGCCTGTATATTAGTCCATCAAAGCTAAGGTCTGTTGAGCTTGGTTCTTAAATAACTGGCAAAATATCCACAGCCTTATGCAGGCCATAGACTGGTCGAATACCGTCCGTTTTTTAAAAAATAAAACACGAAAAATACCGTCCGTTTTTTAAAAAAAAAAAATTTTCGTCCTTCTACAGCCGGCATTTAATTACTTCTGTCCCTGCAGAGAGCTCCGCTATTATATTTGACGTGAAAAAGTATTGCGGTTGCAACAATGTATCCATTTCAGATATAGATGTTTTTATTCGAATACAAATAGATACATTGTTGCAACTGCAAAATATAAAATATAATGCGAACTGGAATTCTTCTTCTACGTTTTTTCTTCTTTTTTTCTTCTTGCAGGTCACGGGTCATGCGTAGATTTTTTTATTGGTAAAATGATCGGCTGATTTGCCCATCATTGCCGTGATTTATTTTTTTTTTTTTTTCCACTTCACCGATAAAAAAAAAAAATGTGCCAAAACCCGGAAAAATGGCCGACCAATTAACCCACTAACGATGCGAAAATCGGCCATTTTTTTTTTTTCGCCCGATTTTTGACCCATCTGCTGCCAGCATTTAATTACTTCTGTCCCTTGTGGAGAGCTCCGCTATTATATTTGACATGAAAAAGTATTGCGGTTGCAACAATGTATCCATTGCAGATACAGATGTTTTTATTTGGATACAAATAGATACATTGTTGCAACTGCAATACTTTTCATATAAAATATAATAGCGGACTGGAATTCTTCTTCTCCTACTTTTTTCTTCTTCTTTTTCTTATTCCTCTTCTTTTTCTTCTTCTTGCAGGTCACGCGCAGATTTTTTATCGGTAAACCGATTGGCCCATCATTGCCGTAAAAATGGGCCGATTTTAATTTTTTTTTTTTTTTTTTCCAGCTTTAAAAAAAAATGTGCCAAAACCCTGAAAAATGGCCGACCAATTAACTTACTAACTGTGCGAAAATCGGCCGTTTTTTTGGCCGAAAAATCGGCCGATTTTCGACCCGTCTATGGCCTGCATTATATTGGGTTATACTGTGGTCTACCATAGCAACATTGCTGCAGCTTCGTACATATCTACTGTACGTTCTTCTAGCACCAATGATGCTCTGTTTGGCATGATGCATAAATAACTGTGAGCCAGCCTCTGTGGGTGTTCCAGCCGTGCAATGGATAAAAGTTACTCTGCATCAGTCTATATATTAATAGATGATGATCTAACAGCTCTGTGCAGACAAAGATTTCCTGGACTGATCCTGCACCGTCTGATGCCCGGTGTATTAAATCACGGAAAGATGTTTACCATCAGCCTTACACATATAGTATACAGTGTGTGTGCCAAAGGATTCCTCTTATGAGGATACGTATTCATCAGATGAAAACATCATTTGTCGCATACTTAGTGGTTTTTGTTTTTTTTTTTTTGGGGGGGTTCCATCTTCTTGGGTCCCCTGCGGCCACTCCTGGCTCCTCCCCTCTGCCAAGTGCCCCGATAGCAAGCCACTTGCTATGGCAGCACTTGTGCAGGCTCACTCCCTGGCCAGCTCTGTGTTTATTGACACACACAGCGCGTCGCTCGGCCTCGCCCCTGCTCCCTCCTAACTGGCTGTGATTGATATAGCAGCGGGAGCCTTCAAGCCAATGAGAATGGGGGAGAGCAAGCACATTGCTGTATTGAGCTCGGGCTCAGGTAGGTATAAGGGGAGGAGCTAGCGGGGAAGCTGAGCATTGAAGGTTTTTAACCCTTGTGCAGGGAATGCATTACAATATAAAAAACCCTTCGCCCTTTACAACCACTTTAATGAATCTCCACTTTATCGATGCTGTGGGTGGACTGATTTGCTGAGTGCAGCTGGTATATCTGGTGAAAGGGATCCTGGGTGCTGAGCTACCTACTATGACCCCAGCTTGTCAATGCACATTGGTATACCCAACACAAGTAGAGAGTGACACCGTGAGCAACACTGCAGCTTAGTCATTTGCACTTGTGCCTTGCAGCACTGGGGTCCTCAGTTTGAATCTCAGCCAGGATACTGTATGTTCTGCTTGTGCTTCCTCCCATACTCCTAAGACATGCCGGAAGGTTGATTGGCTCGTTTCTAAATTGGTCCTAGTATATGTATGTATGCCCTTATGCTAGGTACCTTAGATTGTAAGCTCTTTGAGGGCTGTAAGGTGGAATGTACATGCAAATTGCTGGTGCTATAGAAGTAAAAAAATAATTGAAGCTGAAAGGAAAAGAGTAAGTAGCACTGGGAGGGATAGTGGATTGGGACTAGGTGTGGCTGGCCCGCTGGATGGCAGTCATTGTGTGTTAATGTCAGAGGAGGCGAGGGTCCGAGATTTGTCACAGTTAATTACCTAATTTTCTTTTTTCTTTTTTTTTTTTTTTTTTTTTCTGCTTTTTTTTATTTTTTTTTTTTTTTTTTTTTCTGGTAGGTTAATGCCAGTTTTTGCTGCTATTTGGGAAAACTGACAAGACGTCTTTCAACTGGTGCTCCATGATTTGAACATTGGAGTGTTCTCAGCTTGACATGAAGATGGAGGCAGTTGGAAAGAGTGAACAGCTGTTGGAATCTGAAGTGCCTCCTGTGACCCAACAAAAAGTGGACTCTCCTGCTGATGAGGGAGTTCTGGACCTACAGGCTTCCCTAAAGGACAGTGCACAGGATGTCCCTGACTCTTCTGGACTTTCCTCAATGCCTTGCCTGTTGATGGAACTGAGAAGAGACTCCTCAGAATCTCAGCTAGCATCTACTGAAAGCGACAAGCCAACAGCGGGCCGAGTGTATGAGAGCGACTCCTCCAACCACTGCATGTTGTCCCCTTCTTCCAGCGGACATTTGGCCGACTCAGACACACTGTCTTCCGCCGCCGAAGAGAACGAGCCTCGGCGTCCAGAAGCAATAACCGAAGGCTGCGATGCTGCTGCCCAAGGAGCTGCTGTGGCTCGAAAGTCACGGAGGTCCCGCTCCGAGAGTGAGACGTCAACCATGGCTGCCAAGAAAAACCGCCAGTCCAGTGATAAGCAAAATGGCAGAGTCACCAAGGTCAAAGGCCACAGAAGCCAAAAGCACAAAGAGAGGATTAGGCTATTAAGGCAGAAAAGGGAGGCAGCCGCACGCAAAAAGTATAACTTGTTGCAGGACAGTAGCACCAGTGACAGCGACTTGACCTGCGACTCCAGTACAAGCTCATCAGATGATGATGAAGAGGTTTCAGGGAGCAGCAAGACAATCACAGCAGAGATACCAGGTAAAAAAACGTCCTTGACCAAACTTGCTTGGCCCTCTTACATGGTGAGCACAGGTGTCTAAACCTTCTGTTTCAGTCCCCAGCTGGTAAGATGTTTTTATGTCACCGGTTTTATTTTCTCTCTGTTTTGGAACATCAAAAATTGTTTCCCTGCAGAATCGTTAAATATTTTTTACAATCTGAAGCCCCCTAAATTCTTTAGTGGGAACACATTTTGCAGACCTAGAGCATTAAAGTGTATGTAAGCCCAAAATGTATTTTTTCACTTTGACATCATTCCTCACTATGTTCATGTTTTTTCTTGAGCAAATCAGTTTTATCAATCCGTTACATCTCTTACCTGGACATCCTGTCAATAGCAGCACTTCTGTTTGTTATCCTCTACAGAACATATAGGCAGCCCAAGGAAAACTGAAGCCAAATGCTCTGCAGACTCACTGCTAGATTCACACTTGTGCGGCTCTGTGAGCTGTGTTTTGCATGGGCTTGGCAGTCCTTTCATTTGAATGGCCTGTTGTGCTCCTGAAAATGCAGGGAAAAGGTAGCTGCTCCATTTTTTTTTTTTTTTTTTAAACCGCTGCCTGCACAGAATCTGCAAGTGTAGTGCGGTTCTCGGTGCAGGAGGCCATGTTTTGGTTTCCAGTGTGTGGGATTGCCATTGGGATTAACACCTCCTATCAATGCCTGCACAGAATCTGCAAGTATAGTGCGGTTCTCAGTCCAGGAGGCCACATTTCGGTTTCCAGTGTGTGGGATTGCCATTGGGATTAACACCTCCCCACCAATGCCTGCACAGAATCTGCAAGTATAGTGCGGTTTCTCAGTCCAGGAGGCCACATTTCGGTTTCCAGTGTGTGGGATTGCCATTGGGATTAACACCTCCCCACCAATGCCTGCACAGAATCTGCAAGTATAGTGCGGTTCTCAGTGCAGGAGGCCACATTTCGGTTTCCAATGTGTGGGATTGCCATTGGGATTAACCCCTCCCCACCAATGCCTGTACAGAATCTGCAAGTGCAGTGCGGTTCTTAGTGCAGGAGGCCATGTTTCGGTTTCCAGTGTGTGGGATTGCCATTGGGATTAACACCTTTCACCAATGCCTGCACAGAATCTGCAAGTGCAGTGTGGTTCTCAGTGCAGGAGGCCACGTTTCGGTTTCCAGTGTGTGAGATTGCCATTGGGATTAACGCCTCCCCACCAATGATCCCCCCCCCCCCCTTGCATCGCCTCCCCGTGAATGACAGCATGTTTTTTTTTATGTGTGGTTGGTTGTGGCTGTGGGAACAGGTGCAGTCCCACAGAAGCTATCACCCGCACAGGTGTTACCCTAGCCTTAAGCAGTAACTTATATTGGCCATACGCAGTTAAAAAATCGTTTAAAAAAGCATTCGATAGGCTTGATCCTTCGACTTTCGAAATGTCAGTGGGTTAATTTCAATTATCAAACTGCAAAGCCCTAACGACTGGTCCTTCCTAGATATGAGGACAGGATGGAGCTGTGAAAGCTATCAGAATAGCTTGGGGTAGGAATGATGTTTGTGAGCTGCATAAAATCTTTTTTTTTTTTTTTTTTTTTTGAACTCTTTGAGAAAACCTGTATACAGTGAGTCACGATGCCAAGCTGAAATTCTGGTCTTGCATACAATTTCCAGTCTTGCTTTTCTAGCAGACATGACCATCTTATGCTGACTATAAAATCAATGGTAAACAACTGGTCATAAATCGGTAATGTTTCAAATAATGTTTTGTTTGAGAGTTATCATCAGGGTTCTGTTGATTTTGTCATATTCAACTAGCATTTTCAGCAGGACATATCCTCCCTTTCATTCATAGATTAAACCTGATTGCAGTCGTTTTTAGGAAGATACAATCCTTTCCTCAAAATGTTCATTATATTGAATGATAGTTGCATTAAAACAGGCATTGACACACCTTTTGTTTACTTGCCCAAATCAGGGTTAATTTCATTTCCAGCATTAGCATGTTTTAATCTCTGATGTCCAACCCTTTGCCTAGAATAGATAAATATTATTTATTTAACTTCAGAATTGGCTGTGGTCCAGTGAAATTAAAAAAAAAAAAAAAAAAATGTTACCATAAATGAAAAGTGTCCCTTTGTGCTGGTGGTTGCTGTGCCGGGTATGGCTGTCATTTGTGACCCCTTGCTCCATTCAAAGAAGCCATACTACTGGTCCCACAATGATGAGAATTACATGATTGCAGGCAGGCCTTTCATCCATCCGCCTCTCTGCTCTTCATTGTGGGAACCAATGGTACACCTTCTATGAATGGAGCACATGACGAAAGGGCAGGTGTAGTCGGCACCTAATGAGTGCCTGTTACAGGTGCACCTGCTCATATAAACCCCAGCACCACATTCAAAAGGAAGAAAAGAAAAAAAAAAACTAAACCAACTTTAAGTAAGCCACGTGCTGAACAATGTTTGTCATGTTCGTGATTGACTAGCCAAAATTGCCTTTTGTGGGTGGCCGTATCGGCACCCTCTTGTCCGAACTCCTCATTTTGAAATATCAAAGGAGCCTGGCTGAGAATTGTCAATCAACCAGTGGTTGAATCCAATCAGATGCAGCCATTGTTGGTTTAATCTGGCAGTGTGGGGAGACCGTCCCTTTGTCACCATCAAGGCACAGTCTGGAATCACTGGACTTGAAGTACACAGCCCTAGGACCTGAAGGACACACAGGCACATATTTCTATATAGTAAGCAGGCATTCTCCATTTTTGAGGAGTTCATGTGATTTTTATTTGCCTAAATTGAAATGTTTTTTTTTGTTTGTAACATTTTGTCTACAAACCCAACAATGTGTGTGTGTGTTTTTGTAATATATATTGAATATAAACTGATTGACACCAACCACTTTGCATTATGTTCACAGACTGCAGTGTTACTTTACTTTTTATGTAAACTGCACAATATGGCCAGAGCTGCACTGCTGTCAGCATTAATAGGTGTGATGGGTGACCTCCAGCTACAATGGGTGTTATGGGTGATGCCAGGTAGACCTGCAGCTACCAGGTGTATTATGGGTGATAACAAGTAAACCTCCAGCTACAAGGAGTGTTATGAGGGATACCAGGTTATACCTCCAGCTACAAGAGGATGTTATAAGGGGTCCCAGGTAGACCTCCAGCTACAAGAGGATGTTATAAGGGGTCCCAGGTAGACCTCCAGCTACAAGAGGATGTTATAAGGGGTCCCAGGTAGACCTCCAGCTACAAGAGGATGTTATAAGGGGTCCCAGGTAGACCTCCAGCTACAAGAGGATTTTATAAGGGGTCCCAGGTAGACCTCCAGCTACAAGAGGATGTTATAAGGGGTCCCAGGTAGACCTCCAGGTACAATAGGATTTTATGAGAGGTCCCAGGTCAGGGGTGGGCAAACTTTTTGACTTGAGGGCCGCAATGGGTTCATATATTGGACCCGGGGGCCGGACCAAGAGTAGATGAATGATGTGTATGTATCATCCATAGTAAGTATAGTAATATTCCCCCATAGTAAGCATAGTAATTCATCCCCCCATAGTAATTCATCCCCCATATAGTAATTCATCCCCCCTATAGTAATTCATCCCCCCTATAGTAATTCATCCCCCCTATAGTAATTCATCCCCCCTATAGTAATCATCCCTCATATAGTATTTCATCCCCATATAGTAATTCATCCCCCCTATAGTAATTCATCCCCCTATAGTAATTCATCCCCCCTATAGTATTTCATCCCCCATAGTACTATTACCCCCCAAGTAGTAAGCCAAGTCCCCCGTGTCGATTTACTTACCTTTGCTCCGCGCGTTCCTCTCGCCGTGTTCCCGCGCCATTCCGGTCTTCAGGGCGGACTGTGAGAGGAGCCTAGCTCCCCTCACGTTCGTCACGCTGCCCCGCCTACACACATCCTGACAGTATCGCGCTCCGCGGGCCCGCCGGGCCGTAGTTTGGCTGTTGCTGTCCCAGGTAGACCTTCAGCTACAAGGACGTTTATGAGGGATACCAGGTAGGCAACCAGCTGAATGGGGTGTTATAGATGATGCTATGATCACCTCCCAGCTCCCTGGTTTGTACAGGTGATCTTCATCTTTATGGTATTGTCTCATTCCAAAATAAAAATGAATGGTTACCCTAACCAAAGCAGAATATATTCTGGCAGTAGTTAGGTGATTCAGCCTCTTGGGCTTCCTAAAGCTCTAATTTGACAAGGAAATCCCATTACTTCTGTGCTATTAGTTTAATGGTAGGTCTGGGCAAAAGGAAAAAAAAATACATTCACTTCATCTTCACTTCATCTTCTTCAGTACATTAAGGGAAATATGGCTGAAGCTCTTTTGGCCTTACTTCTCCCGTGGGTCACAGGAGTGCATTTAATTCTGTGGATGCAGCTGACAGCAGGCTAAAGTACGTTGTCTGCTGACGCCACTCAGCCGGTCCAGACTCTGGAGAGATCACAATTTTTATGTTGGGATCCACCCGGATGCCTGGACTGTCAGCTGGCTCAGCCTCTCAGTGATCCGCTGAGAGCCTGAGCCTTCCGCACCCCAACTCCCCCCCCCTGCAGTCCGGGGCTCCAGTAAGCGATGGAGGGCCGCAGCACAGAGCAGTGACTGACAGTCACCGCTTTGTGCTCAGTGGACCCAAAAAATGAGTGATCAGCCATCTTTGATCACTCCATTCTCTATGTACAGCTGGCGAGGACAGCTACAGCACTGGATCCATGCTGCAGCCACCTAGGCGAGTATGTAAGTTTGTTTTGTTTGATTCCCACACTTTTTAACTTTTCCCCAATGTGTTTCTTTGGAAACATTTCAAGAAGGTGAAAACACCTTTTTGATCTGCCAGAAATTTAGAGAGCTCCTTACTTCCTGTAGGTAGACAGTGCAGTGCTCCTGCTGCACTGAAATCCCAAGCAGTGTTATCAGGAGCACACAGGATTTCTGGCAGATCAACAGATTTTTCCTTAATTAAAGCATTTTTAATGTGACAAATTATGGGGAAGGGTGTGTGCGAATTGCAGAGATGTACTGAATTGTTATTTTTACTTATGTTGCCC